CCAAAACACATTGTATTCAAAAAGATTGGATCTCAAACTTTATTGAATTTTGAGGACAACCTAAGACATAAGAGTCATAAACACCCGCTCATTCTAGTTGCTACCCAATGCAACGACATTACAAAGCCAACATCCTCGAATATCAAACCATTATCATGCCATAACCCAATGAAAAAGGTTGAACTGTTATGTAATGGATGTTTGAAACCCATTATGGMCATGCCGTTTTACAAGTGTGTCAATGAGGACGAGTCATGCAACTTTGTTCTACATGAGTGGTGCACCCGACTACCCAATCAAGTGGAGAACCACCCAGGTCACCCTCAACATACTCTCTTTCTCTTACCAATTGTCCCCCACAAGCCTTTGGGTGTGTTCAAGTGTGTTGTTTGTGACTTAGTATGCAATGGATTCGTCTATAGTTGTGTAGACTGTGACTACCACGTCGATGTTACTTGTGCGTTCATACCTGAAAAGATAGTACATGAAGCTCATCCAAATCATCTCATTTGGAGAGTTCAATCAAGATCTCATGAAAAAAGTTGTCGTTCATGTGTATATTATTTTTATGGAAATGACTTTTCATTTAGTTGCCGTACTTGTGATTTTGATCTACATCCAGAGTGTGCTTTGTTATTACCTAAAACAATTAGGCACAAGTATGACAAACACCCCTTGAAGTTGAGTTATTTCCCGATTGAGAATCACAAAAGTAAATATTTTTGTGAAATTTGCGAGCAAGAATTCGATCCAGAACGTTGGTTTTATCATTGTGATGAGTGTGCSCAATCTATACATTGTGCTTGTGCTCCAATCATACTTAAGTCTGAAACTGCTCCGATCTCAAACCTTCATCGAAGAATTTATAAGTTCGTGAACATAAAGTTTGGTGGCATTCATAGCACTAAAGCTCATGAACACCCTCTCTCATTTGTTCAAGGAATTGAGAGCGATGGTCGTTGTGATCGATGTAAATGGCCATTAAAGTATGAAATGATCTTGAAGTGTTCAAAATGTAAGTTTGCAATTGATTATGATTGTTATAGGAGTTTCAATTAAGAGTTTGTGAATCTGTTGGAATTGTATTTGTAAGTATTTTATACTCTTGTCTCTTTTTTATATATGTGCAAAAGAATATAACAAAAAAAAAGAATTTAATGGTGTAATCATTTTATTTATTCATCCCTAGTAATTGATTGATTGTTATATTTAAGTTCTATTCCAATATGGATACAAAGTAAATGTGAAAATTAGTCTTTCTATAAATGATATAATATATTGATTTGTTTAAAAACAGTTAACTACATCTAATAATTTTTATTCGTTAATTAAATACTACTTGATATATCTTGGAAAACTAAGCAACGRCCATCTCAATTAAACACACGGCCCCCAAACTTACTACGAAAAATGGTTTTAGGACATGTTTGCGATGAGTTTACGAAATGGTTACGATGATCTAGATTCCCATATTTATCGGCTTGTAGATGTTGAAAAGAATATCATTTGGATCCGAGTTACAGCCTCATGACGCTTACCGCAAAAAATGGTTACAAAATTCATATTGATTTTAAAGATGCAGAGATATTCTTAAATTTTCAAACACATAGGCATCTTAAAACATTTAATTTTCAAAGAAAGTGGATGTCAAACTTATGGAATAGACCCAACACCCACTAATCTTAGTCGAAGCCAACCTCCCCAAGAATGAAACTGTTATCCTCTCATAACCCAATAAAAAAGAYTGAATTGTTATGTAATGKATGTGTGAKACCAATCGCCAACATACCCTTCTACAAGTGTGCCAATGAGGATGAAACCATGCAACTTTGCTCGGTGCAAAACCACCCTCAACGTACCCTTCTTCTCCTACCGCTCGTCTCTCGTAAGCTTTTGGGCRTGTTCAAGTTTGCTGTATGCAACTTACAATGCAATGGATTTGTCTATACTTGTGTTGAATTTGACTACCRCACCGATGTTAGTTGCGCATTCATACCTGAAAAAATAAGACACAAAGCTCATCCAAATCATCTCATTTGGAGAATTCAGTCAAAAACCAATAAAAGATATTGTCGTTCATGTTTACAGCGTGTTTGGCAAAATGAATTTTCATTTAGTTGTCGTACTTGTGATTTTGATCTACATTTCGAGTGTGCTTTGTTCTTACCCCAAACAATTAGGCACAAGTATGACAAGCACCCCTTGAAACAGATCATAGAAGCAGATTCATAATTTATGTTAAAAGATCATAGAAGCAGATTCATAATTTATGTTACCTCATGGGGTTGCAACAGAGAGGTGGTTTGGGTGGATGATGAAGCTGCTTCCTTGTCATCAACATGACTGCCATCTTCTTTAGCTTTTCCCCATAAAACAGCATAGAACCCTAATGATATTATTATCCCCCCAACAACACTGCATGCACCAAATTTTCAGTTCGTATGGTTTCATATTATTAATCCTTCTTCAATTTCAAGTCAAAAGTATAAAAAACTATAAGCACTACAAAAAAAAATCAGGTTTATAGGACGCATAAAATGTCCGTCTATATATCTATACTATATTATAAAATATTTGACAAAATCTCTTAAAAACAATATTTTATGCATTAAGTATTGTTCATTGATGCATATTACTTAAAATTCAAGACTACAAGTAAATTGTGCGGAAAAACAACTTATTAAAGCTCTATGTTTGAATTCGTTTAACTAACTGCAGATAAATATAATCAAATAGAGGATAAACATCTCATTTTAAAATATTAAAAAAGTAAACTATGATTAGGATAATTATTGAGTTCAAACAAAATAATTAGTTATTATATTTATAAAAAATTATATTATGAAACCAAATATAAATTACTTCGTTATTTATACTATATTATAAAACATTTGATAAAAACTCTTAAAAACTATTTTTCATGCATGAAGTACTATTTATTGATGCATATTATTTAAAATTCAAGATTACAAGTAATTATACATAAGTACAACTTATATTGTTAAACCTAAATCGAATTACTTCGTTACATTAAATTAAATTGTAATAAAAAATTTGAATTAAAGAAATTACACAAAACAAGAACTTTCAAAAAGTTAATTTCATATATACTAATATCGATATAGTTTTTTCAAATTTTTATGATATTTTATTCAAAAATAAAAATATTATCGTTTTCTCAAAACCACATTAAAACGGTATGATATCGACATAGATAAAGATAAAACGAAAAGTTGAAATCGGGATGTGTGTCGATGCATTACACGAGTACCTTTCTAGTAAGTTATAAGACTTGGGTGTTTGGAGCTTCCTCTTAAAACTCATCGGTTCGAATGTTTCAAAGTTCAGAGATTTCACCGGTTATTCTCTAGAAACCTATAAAATTAGTCGAGAGAGACATAAGAACATCAATGGAGGGATTGAAGGTATCGGATGCGGAATTGGTGGTGTATTTACACCCATCGAAGTCAAATAACGCCTCTCAAGCCATTTTTGGTGAACTCGGTTCAATGCTTTTCAAGTAATTCTTCGTCTTTTTCTTCCTCTTTATTTCAAATACGTCATCGACCTTGAATCCTTTGTCTTTAATGTAATTGTCCACCATTCGGGGAAGAATGACATTGATGGACGACTATAGCAAAAGAAGATGAGCTGATGGCTATATATAAACATTAGTTGAAACTTAACAGTTGTATTTGTTTAAAAGATCCATATTCCATTTTGATAAGCTGAATTAATTAATGATCAATGATACATAAAGCTATTTTGACAAAGTAATGTAGATTCCACTGCAAGAGAAGCTGAAAAGAGTATCAAGTAGAGGGATATTCCACTGTAAAAACACCCAAATTGCTACCGGCAGGCAAAAAGAATGGCATTTTGCTTGAATGGGAGAGGAACGGCATATATGCAGGTTCCTATCAAACGGCATATATGCCCCATGGTTGGAGATGAATTGATTTTTGGTGTATTGGCCCCACCAATTTGGGTGTTTATTTTTAGGTGTCGTGATTGGAGATGATCTAAGGTGGGCAAATCCACGTTTGAAAACTCTGGTGTACTTATTCCTAATATCGAGGTAGTCGATTGTCTATCATATCTATTATTTAGATAGCGCCAGTGGTAGTGCATGAAAGGTTATGTAGTTAGGCTTTTGGGGAAAGGATTATGCTAGTAGCAGTTGTTGATTAACCTCAACGGTCTAATATATTTAGCCAGACTGCCAGAGTATTAAAATCTCTGGTCCTTGTCCTTGATAGAGACTCACCGAAGTTCCATGCTTGTATATTACCGCAGAATATAAGAACTTTTCTTACATTATTTTCATTGCAAGACTCAATTTTGAGGTGTTGTTGCCTTAACAACGGTAAACGAAAAATCTAATGTGTTAAGCACCCACCTAGGCATGGTTTAAAAAACGCCAGAGGAGTGCGCCTAGGCGCACTTCAGGGCTATGCGGTCCAATTTTGTTTATGAACGTGCGCCTCAACCATCCCAAATTGAACCTACGCCTTGATATGTGAGGCGGTCCACCTATACCGTCCAGATTGAATGTATGCTTGATCTCCGATTTTATAGAAAACCTTAATTTTTAAAAATAAGGAAATGATTAAACCTAAAAAACACTAATATTATATGGAAACTGAACCATCGACCTATTTTTCTGCCTCTTCCTGTGTAACAGTTACATTGTAACCCAACTTTTCATCATCTTTTTTTATTCTGCCTTATTCAATACCGAAAGTCCAAAACTGTAAACATATTTATATACTTGACTTGAAGTCTTGAACGAATTCTGAGTTGCTTCTTTCCAAACGATCGACCAGTTTAATACCAACTTTACTGGTTTGCTGCAGGTTCTTTTATGTGTACATATTATGTTTTTATGTATATTGTATCTATATTCTGTTATATATATATATATATATATATATATATATAAATATTCTGTTTTTAGGTATAAATTATGCATNATAATCTGTTTATATATATCTATATATATTCTGTTTTTATGTATACATATGCTGTTTTTATGTATACATATTCTGTTTTATGTAATTAGGTACAATATTGTATAATCTGTTTATATATATAAATAATTATAGGTCTATGAATTTTGTTGTTTTATTTTTTGGGGCTTACGCCTCGACCGTCTCGAAGCTTACACCTCACACACCTAAGAGGAAAACGCCTCGAGGTTTGTTTCCGTTCTTTAAAACCTTGCATCTAGGGTACTCTGGTTTTATGTGTTCTTCCTTGCTTGGTTATTCCAACCAACTATAATATGATCAAACACTACTATGCCTATCTTCCTGCTTCTTCCATTTTTATTTATGACAACTAGGAACAGACGACATTGAATTATATGTCATCATTTTGTGTAACAACTAGTCCCACGTGAATAGGAAGTTAGATCTATGTAACGCACCATACACCAAACCAGCAGGCTGGCCCAATAACCTCCAAATCAACTTTAAAACCATAGTGAAAGCTATTAGTAACCCACAAATTGAGTTATTGATTTTTGCACCCATTATACTTGACACCTGTTCTAGAACCACCATTATACTTGCAACATTCCACAAGAGACACCGGTAAATGAAAGGAAAAGAGTTGACATTTTGCAGAAATCTTTCAAATTTTTGTTTATGCCCATACAGAAACGAGTGATGGATTTGTATAACCATTCTACTTTGTCTTTGGTTTCAAAATAACAGTAATGCTTGATTACAATCTTTCTGAAAAAGGATTCAAATGAAATATAATTAATAAGTCTATTTGTCTTTACAAAATAATAAGTGTATTAATTAAGTACACAAGCTATTTTTATTTCACTATCGATAAAGTTGTACTAAATAGAGCATATCTACAACATCCATCAAATTTACAATCATACTCATCACCATTTCTTTATGTAAAATCATGCGAGTACACATTATCTTTTCTCAGAATCATACCATGATGAAACTTGAATAGAAATACACCAAAATGTTTAATTTATTCAAGTATGATGTTCTTTTATTAAAAAATTTGCACGTATAACAGTTATTTTGAAACCAAGTGCCAAGGATTATGATTTAGAAAGCCAATTATTCTTTTTCTTTTTGAATGCAACCTTCTTCATAGATGATTTGCTAGTTCTTATTGGTCTGGTGTTTAAGGGATCTCATACACTTATTTTGTAGCATGAAGCCATTTGTCCTTAAGTAGTTGGGGGAGTCTTAAAAATGAAATCCAACAGGTTCTGTTTGTTACGGAACCTCTTCTTGAACCCATGAACATAAGTATCATCCTTCTGTACATCCCTATTAAGGCTAATCAATGCAACCAAGTATAACAAGGTGAAATCCATCATCTCCATCTCACTTGGTATAAAATTGATTTCAAAATTCCATTTTTAACCCACAAGAGAGTCCCCTAAAACTTATGTGTAGAAAGGTTTTCCCTAAGATAATGATATAACTAACATGCCATCAATTTCACCATCTTTTGTAAACTTACAAATTACAGTATGCATCCTTCTGGACTCCTTTGATTCTACATACGAACCTGCTAGTAGCATCATCAATAGAGTCATCAAGTTCCCTAGCACATCTTCAGTATCTTCATTGAATAGACTTGTCAAAATAATCCCTCCAACGTTGTCCAATTTCGTCATATTTGATCAGGAGTTGTTGGTTCTTGTTCTTGGTTGTTTTGATGCAACCACCATTATTTTCTTTTCTTTTCTTAGGGGTGTTTACTTTTGACAGAATGGGCTTAGTGACTTAATTAGCTTATTTGCATAGACATTTTAGAGTGTTTACTTACAGCTTAATGAAAAAGAACCCAGTTTATTCGCATAGCCCAAAATACTCTCTTGTCGGATTCAGCCAACAAGCTACCTCTCCCGCCCCTTCTTATCCCATAGATTAAAAAACACGCTCATAAAAGAATTACCCTAGCCACTCCATCTCTCTTCTCCGTACCTCAATCAGTATCCATCTGGACCATCTCCAACCCGGCGACCTCCCTTCACGACCAGCAACAGCAGCCATCTCCAACCATCACTCCACTGATGACCTCTGTTCCCAATTAAATAATCCCTAATAAAGATGAAATTTTTTTGTCCGATTCAAAGATTCTTCCAATGTCTGCATTCATGAAATCATTCGGTAATAATCCCTTCTTCTGCCAACTCTACTCACTTCAGTTTTCTTCTGCTGAATTCACTCAGCCGATTTGAAGTTGTAAGTAGTATTTGATGAAGCAGAAGATTGAGTAGTATTTGAGTCAAAATTCTGGGTTTTTCCTGCTCCAGGTCAGCTCTGAGTTAACTGATTTTTATGGCATTGCTTTACATTAGTTGAATTTGTTGTTTTTGTACGTAATTTGATTCATGTGATTGGATTACGATCCAGGCCGAGTTGAT